ACCAGTACTGAAAGTATTGTCGAAGGGTTCATTTGCACTTTAAGTAAAATACTTTTTAGCTTCTCTTGTATACATCTCTTGCAGTACGTCGCAGCTCAAATTACAGAAAATAGCAACAGGTTTACAATTCTTAGGAGATTTAAACTTTGTTTAGCCCTCTAAATAGCCTTTTTTAAGTTACTAAAAATAGATATCGCAAAGCATTGCGGGATCGAAATGCGGACAAACATYGTAATAATAATTATAATAATAATAACAACTTTATTTAATGAGGGTGGCACTAAATAGTGTACTACACTAATAAACTTGTGGCCCTCAATATAAAACTACTAATATTTATAAATTTAAAAATAAAGGCTTGGAAAAGAAAAAGTATGTCAGTCTAAAAGCCATAGTTCGGCTTCCATGAGATGGAAGCAATGAGAAYACAAAACATTGTTGCAGTAAATATATAGAGGATATTACACAGTGGCGCGAAGATGGGCCAGTGGGCCCCGTTTAGCACGGGCAATAAACTTCATATCTTCAAGCCAACGTGTTATTTTCTTTTTATTTTATAGACAAATCCAAAAAGAAAAACTACGCAGGTTAATCAAAACAGGTCCCGGGAAACATCACAAGTGACGTCATCGATATCGTCACTAGTGAAGATAAGGAAAATATGTTACTCAGGTCCCGGATGTAGTTTGTACAAAATATGCGAGTGGCGTATTTCCCAGTAAAACAATCTATATATCTGTCTATATAATAAAAGCGTGTCTGCTGGGCTTGGCTTGTCTGTATTTCAATCCCATGATGCGGAAATGTGTAATGCGTGGAAAACGGTATTGAGCTGCTGACGTTACATGCAAGGGGTCTATAAATTGAGGCAATATCTCGTGTTGAATTACTTACAAGGCTCTCAATGTACTTAGATCTTTAAATGTGCCAACACTGATATTTGTAATTTGGTTGTTTATAAGATTCCTGGAAAAAAAAATTGTTAACAATTACTGAGATAAAATTATGCTAAAAACCGTTAAAAAGATGTACAGAACACTCCAGTTTCGAGTTCTCTTTGCTCAGTCCATAGTTAATAGAGGGGAATGGTTAGGAAAC